TGTACAGTACACGTTAGTGAGAGAAGCTGTATCTTGTACAGTGCACAGAGATGTGGCAGGCTGTATCATGTACAGTACACAGATGTGAGACAGGTTGTATCATGTACAATACACAGAGGTGTGACAGGCTGTATCATTACAATACACAGAGATGAGACAGGCTATATCATTACAGTACACAGAGCTGAGACAGGCTGTATCATATACAGTACACAGAGGTGAGACAGGCTATATCAATTATCATGTACAGAACACAGAGGTAGACAGGCTGTATCGTGTACAGTACACAGAGATGTGACAGGCTATATCATGTTCGGTACACAGATGTGAGACAGGCTATATCATGTACAGTACACAGAGATGAGACAGGATGTATCATGGAAAGTACACAAAGGTGAGACAGGCTGTATCATGTACAGTACACACAGGTGAGACAGGCTATATCATGTACAGAACACAGAGGTGTGACAGGCTATATCATGTACAGTACACAGAGGTGAGACAGGCTTAACCATGTACAGTACACATAGGTGAAACAAGCTGAATTATTACAGTACACAGAGGTGAGACAGGCTGTATCATTACAGTACACAGAGGTGAGACAGGCTGTATCATTACAGTACACCGAGGTAAGACAGGCTGTATCATGTACAGGAAACAGAGGTGAGACAGGCTATATCATGTACAGTACACAGAGGTGAGACAGGCCATATCATGTACAGAACACAGAGGTGCGACAGGCTGTATCATTACAGTACACAGAGGTGAGACAGGCTGTATCATTACAGTACACAGAGGTGAGACAGGCTGTATCATATACAGAACACAGAGGTTAGACAGGCTATATCATGTACAGAACACAGAGGAAGACAGGCTGTTTCATGTACAGTACACAGAGGTGTGACAGGCTGTATCATTACAGTACACAGAGGTGAGACAGGCTATATCATGTACAGTACACAGAGGTGAGACAGGCCATATCATGTACAGAACACACAGGTGAGACAGGCTGTATCATGTAGAGTACACTGAGGTGCGACAGGCTGTATCTTTGCAGTACACCGAGGTGAGACAGGCTGTATCATTTCAGTACACAGAGGTGAGACAGGCTGTATCAAATACAGTACACAGAGGTGAGACAGGCTGTATCATTACAGTACACAGAGGTGAGACAGGCTGTATCATTACAGTACACCGAGGTAAGACAGGCTGTATCATGTACAGGAAACAGAGGTGAGACAGGCTATATCATGTACAGTACACAGAGGTGAGACAGGCCATATCATGTACAGAACACAAAAGTTAGACAGGCTATATCATGTACAGTACACAGAGGTGAGACAGACTATATCATGTACAGTACACAGAGGTGAGACAGGCTATATCATGTACAGAACACAGAGGTGTGACAGGCTGTATCATTACAATACACAGAGATGAGACAGGCTGTATCATATACAGAACACAGAGGTAGACAGGCTGTATCATGTAGAGTACACAGAGATGTGACAGGCTATATCATGTTCGGTACGCAGAGGTGAGACAGGCTATATCATGTACAGAACACAGAGGCGAGACAAGCTGTATCATGTACAGTACACAGAGGTGTGACAGGCTGTATCATTACAATACAGAGAGATGAGACAGGTTGTATCATGTACAGTACACAAAGGTGAGACAGGCTGTATCATTACAATACACAGAGATGAGACAGGTTGTATCATGTACAGTACACAAAGGTGAGACAGGCTGTATCATTACAGTACACAGAGGTGAGACAGGCTGTATCATATACAGTACACAGAAGTGAGACAGGCTATATCATGTACAGAACACAAAAGTTTGACAGGCTATATCATGTACAGTACACAGAGGTGAGACAGGCTATATCATGTACAGTACACAGAGGTGAGACAGGCTCTATCATGTACAGAACACAGAGGTGAGACAAGCTGTATCACGTACAGTACACAGAGGTGTGACAGGCTGTATCATTACAATACACAGAGATGAGACAGGCTGTATCATATATAGAACACAGAGGTGAGACAGGCTATATCATGTACGGACCACAGAGGTAGACCGGCTGTATCATGTACAGTACACAGAGATGTGACAGGCTATATCATGTTCGGTACACAGAGGTGAGACAGGCTAAACCATGTACAGTACACAGAGATGAGACAGGTTGTATCATGTACAGTACACAAAGGTGAGACAGGCTGTATCATGTACAGTACACAGAGGTGAGACAGGCTATATCATGTACAGTACACAGAGGTGAGACAGGCTATATCATGTACAGAACACAGAGGTGAGACAAGCTGTATTATGTACGGTACACAGAGGTGTGACAGGCTGTATCATTACAATACACAAAGATGAGACAGGCTGTATCATGTACAGTACACAGAGATGTGACAGGCTATATCATGTTCGTTACACAGAGGTGTGACAGGCTATATCATTTTCAGTACACAAAGGTGAGACAGGCTATATCATGTACAGAACACAGAGGTATGACAGGCTATATCATGCACAGTACACAGAGGTGAGACAAGCTGTATCATGTACAGTACACAGAGGTGTGACAGGCTGTATCATTACAATATACAGAGGTGAGACAGTCTATATCATGTACAGAACACAGAGGTGAGACAAGCTGTATCATGTACAGTACACAGAGGTGTGACAGGCTGTATCATTACAATACACAGAGATGAGACAGGCAGTATCATATACAGAACACAGAGGTGAGACAGGCTATATCATGTACAGAACACAGATATGAGACAGGTTGTAAAATGTACAGTACACAAAGGTGAGACAGGCTGTATCAATTACAGTACACAGAGGTGAGACAGGATATATCATGTACAGAGCACAGAGGTGAGACAGGCTATACCATGTACAGAACACAAAGGTAGACAGGCTGTATCTTGTACAGTACACAGAGATGTGACAGGCTATATCATGTTGGGTACACAGAGGTTTGACAAGCTATATCATTTACAGTACACAAAGGTGAGACAGGCTATATCAAGCACAGTACACAGAGGTGAGACAAGCTGTATCATGTGCAGTACACACAGGTGAGATGGGCTATATCATGTACAGTACACAGAGATGAGACAAGCTGTATCATGTACAGTGCACAGAGGTGTGACAGGCTGTATCATGTACAGTATGCAGATGTGAGACAGGTTGTATATGTACAATACACAGAGGTGAGACAAGCTGTATCATGTACAATTCACAGAGGTGAGAAAAGCTGTATCATGTACAGTACACAGAGGTGTTACAGGCTCTACCATGTACAGTACACAGAGGTGAGACAGGCTGTATCATTACAGTACACAGAAGTGAGACAGGCTATTTCATGTACAGAAACACAGAAGTGAGACAGGCCATATCATGTACAGTACACAGAGGTGAGACAGGCTATCTCATGTACAGTAAACAGAGGTGAGACAGGCTCTATCATGTACAGAACACAGAGGTGAGACGGGCTATATCATGTACAGTACACAGAGGTGAGACAAGCTGTATCATGTACAGCACACAGAGGTGAGGCAAGCTGAATCATGTACAGTACACAGAGGTGTGACAGGCTGTATCATTACAGTACAGAGAGGTGAGACAGGCTGTATCATGTACAGTACACCGAGGTGAGACCGGCTGTATCATGTACAGTACACAGAGGTGAGACAAGCTATATCATGTACAGTACACAGATGCTTGACAGGCTTTATCATTACAGTACACAGAGGTAAGACAGGCTGTATCATGTACAGGCTATATCAGTACACAGAGGTGAAACAAGCTGTATCGTGTACAGTACACAGAGTTGTGACAAGCTATAATCATGTACAGTACACAGAGGTGAGACAGGCAGTATCATGTACAGTACACAGAAGAGAGACAGGCTGTATCATGTACAGTGCACAGAGGTGTGACAGGCTGTATCATGTACAGTACACAGAGGTGAGACAGGCTGTATCATTACAGTACACAGACGTGAGACAGGCTATAATCATGTACAGTACACAGAGGTGAGACTGGCAGTATCCTGTACAGTACACAGAGGTGAGACAGGCTGTATCATGTACAGTGCACAGAGGTGTGACAGGCTGTATCATGTACAGTACACAGAGGTGAGACAGGCTGTATAATTACAGTACGCAAAGGTGAGACAGGCTGTATCATGTACAGTACACCGAGGTGAGACCGGCTGTATCATTACAGTACACAGAGGTGAGACAGGCTATATCATGTACAGTTTACAGAGGAGAGACAGGCTATATCATTGCAGTACACAGAGGTGAGACAAGCTGTATCATGTACAGTACACAGAGGTGAGACAAGCTATAGCATGTGCAGTACACAGAGACTTGACAGGCTTTATCATTACAGTACACAGAGGTGAGACAAGCTATATAATGTACAGTACACAGAGGTGAGTCAGGATATATCATGTACAGTACGCAGAGGTGAGACAGGTTCTATCATCTACAGTACGCAGAGGTGTTACAGGCTGTATCATGTACAGAACACGGAGGTGTGACAGGCTGTATCACGTACAAGACACAGAGGTGAGACAGGCTATATTATGTACAGGACACAGAGGTGAAACTGGCTGTATTGTGTATAGTCACGGAGTTGTGGCCATAAGTATCGGTGGAGGGGTGTGGGCTGCACAGGCTACGCATTTCTTCTCTTGGTTGGGGCAGGAGGTGTAGCGATGCCCGGTGCTTCCACACTTGTAGCACACATCCTCCTGAGCCTTGCACTTGGTGGTGGTGTGTCCGTAGCGCTGGTATTTATAGCACCGTTTGGGTCTGCAAAAGGGCTTCACTGGCACGGTTTTCCAGGCCATTTGAGCCTCTTTGAGTAACGTTTCATGGTTTCCTACAAGGGCAGTTGTTTCTGACAGCTTTTTTAGACAGCAGAGTTGTCCCTTGAAAAGTTCGTTCATTGCTTTTGAGTTCATGAATGCTATTTCAGGGTGGGAGTTCATTCACAGCTTCAAGTTGTCCCCCTGGTGGACAATCCTTTCCACCGTTGATGTCGGTGAATTGTGGCAGTTGAAGGAATTGGCCATATTTGGCGATGGTGATTTTTAGGTCACCGTTCACCTTAAGGCGCTCCACCTTGATGATTCCCTCGATTCCTTCAGAGTTAAAAAACTCTTTAAGGACGAGGAAGTTGAGTAGTTTTGGGCAGGTTTCTTCAACCGGGGGTTGAAGAAAAGTAGTGAAACTGAAATACAGTAGGAGTAGAAAGAATTTGGGCTTAACCAGATCGCTTCATCTTTCCTATTAGTTTTTTATCTTTGTTTTGCTCCCTTGGGTCGTCAGACTTTTTTATTAATATTGGTTTATTTATACAGTGCTGCTTATTATACAATTTTTTTTTTCTTTACTGCGATGGCGTTAGCAAGCCCTCCCAGGTCCTTGTGTGACTGGGAGGGTACACTGTATGGAAAGGCCTGCCTGGAGCTGGTAGGTCACTCTCATCTTTTATTTCCTCTATTAATGTTTTATGTGTATATTGGGGCAGGAGGTGGTTCAATTACTTTCTTCCAGGCGGATTTAAGCCAACTGTGTTCTTGGAATTATTCATTATCTATATTATTTATCCAGTTTTGGTAAGTTTCTGTGTTGAGTTCAGTCATTTTGTTTCAAATATTTGCGGCTTTGTTGTGTATTTCTACATTGACTGCTAGGAGGTTTCCTCTCTTGTATAGCTGTTCATTATTGATGCGGTCTGTATATTTATGTTAAATATAAATCTAAGGGCTATATTTTGTACTGTTTGTAACCTTTTAATGCTCGTTTTACTAAGGGTGTTCAATGGGATGGGTGGGTAGTCCATAATTGATTTGACAAGGGCTATATAAATTTTTCTTTTGTTATTAATGCTAAGGTTCTTAAAACGTTTTATTTTTATAATCATGGTCTTGCCTGTCGTTCTTTATCTTTTATGTATGTTATATATCCTCTTTTTGTTACTTTTAGTCCAAGCATTCTTCCTTCATTGTCGTATGGGTATACAGTAGTTCCTGGTCTACTATCACTGGACTTGTTTTGATCTTGGTTTTTGGTATTACAGTATCCTGAATTTGTTCTTATTTGTCCTGATTTTCCATTTTTTCTCAAAGTCATTTATGTTTTTTTATTGCTGTTACCGTGAACGTGCCATAAATTGGGTTGATTTTCCTGGGTATGATACTATTTGAGTAATATCATCAGCAAACATTACACATTCGCTAAAGGGGGTTGGTTGAAGTGTGTCTGAGGTATAAATTGTATATAGTGTTGGAGAAAGGCATCCTCCTTGAGGTACTCCACTCTCGAGAATAAACATAGTTCCCATAAAATTTCCAATTTGAATTTGTGCTCTCCTATCATCTAAATAGTTACACAATATTCTTAGCAAATGTTCGTTAAGTCCCAATTTTAATATTTTATATTTTAAACCTAAATGCCAAACTTTATCAAAAGGCTTAGAAACGTCCCTTAAAATTATATTGATCTGGTTCCCCTTGCTTTTTTCTATTGCCATTATTTCCGTTATTGTAGCTATTGCAGTTAGGGTATTTCTATTGGGCATAAATCCATGTTATCTATTGTTTGTTTTCTCCTTGTTGTGTTAAAAGGGTTATAAGTCTTGAATTTTTTTTTCAGTACTTTCCCGGTAATTTCTAATAAAGATATTGGCCTGTATTTTAATATTTCGTTATTGTCCTTACCCTCCTTGGGAATAAATATCATTTTAGCATATTTTAGTCTGTCTGGAAAGTAACCGGTTATTAAGAATGCGTTAAAGATGTTCAATAATGTTTTAAAGATGTTTTCAGGTAGATTTATGATCATATTTCGTGTAATACCTGTGAGACCGGGGGCCTTTCATTTTCCTCGTAAGTTTTGTTCCATTTTGATCTTTAATGTATGGTGTTTTTTGCTAGTTATGCCCCCATCATCTTGTTGATGGGAGTCCAAAATGTTTTTGTGTCTTTAGTCGTGTCGGCCGCCTTTATAATATCATTAAATTTTTTGTTGTTTGCTTCCTTAAATGCGTCTCTTAATTTTATCTGTAGTGCTGTCTGCGTCGTATATAGCCATCTGTTACTGCCGTGTCTTTCCATATACCTGTTTATTTCTTTGTAATGGGTTTGTATTAATTTAACTTCTTCTGTTAGTCTGTTGTTGGGTAATGTTCTAAAGTGTGAAATAGGAGCGTGTTTGGTTATAGATGTTTTTATTGCTGAGTGCAGTCTGTCCATTTCTGAGTCTATGTCGACTTTTGTTTTCCCTTGTAGGTTAATCGAATGGTGATTACCTAAATCTTCTTTGTAGCTGTCCCAGTCTGTTTTGTTCATTTTCAGTCTCTTTTTTATTGGTATATGTATGAGGCTTGTTGACAATGTTAGTATAATTGGCAGATGGTCGCTGCCTGTGAAAGGTCCTTGTTTTATATGATAATTGAAAAAGGCTTTGTTGTTGGTAAAAATTTTGTCTGGTGTCGATTGTGTACTATTGTGATTTCTCCAGGTTGGAAAGTTAGGACCTAGATGATTGATTTTCCCTAGGTTTATTTATTGATGCATAGGGTGTGTCATAGGAGGGAAGATCAGCTAAAACTTATGGCCCATCATTTTTTTGGTAGATTTTAGTGTATATAAACAGAAAATAATTTCAGTTTCAATATTTTGCAACCTTTTGCTAGGTAAATTTTAGCGTGAAATTTATCGAAAATCTAACGTACAGCTGCATTAGTGCATTACAATTAAATAGTGAACATTGCTTTCTGACTTCATTCTTTAACAACCCAACTAACAATATTTTTTTCTGTTTCAGATTCTGATGCATTTATAAGTTGATAATATTTGCGGTGGCTGCTTGTGACAGGACGAGGAATCCGAAAATCCAGCCATCTCAGTCACTATCTTGGGTCTGGGAGAGAGCTCCTGAAGTCGGAGTTGCCTACATTGAGAGATGCTTTGAGATACGGTGTTTTAATCAGGCAAATCAGTGAAAAGAACCAAAGAACTTACACAAACAAAGGACATTGCCAGTGATATGACCAAAGCTGTCTTGGCACAGTACACTCTGGCTAACGCTCAGTTCAAGCCTCCAGTCATAACAAGTCAGAAGAAGATTAGTGAGAGACTGCTAGCCAGTTGGGAAAAGGCAAGATATCTCTCTTGGGAGAAAAACTTGCAGTTAAGGACAGCTTTGCCAAGCAACTGGACCAGTTATTTGACATAATTACTTGCAAGTGCCCAATTGTTCTCTGTCCTGAGTTTGGATGCAATCGTGACTGTAAATCCGAGGCCCACATCTCCTGTATTTGCAAGCGTGAACTGAAAGATTCCTGTGATCGAACTGGCATTTGTCAAAGCACAGAGAGAGAAGACTGGCAGTATAGGGGCTCTCATGATTTCTAGCCAAGATATTCTGGAGTCAAGAGACAGGAGGCTGCCACAGAGAGACAGAAGAGGAGAAGAGTTGCCGAGGAAAAGAGACTTGAGAAGGCCCAGGGTGAGGTAAAAAAGGCCGATGATTGGAGTCAAGCTGATTCAGAGTTTAATGACTTCCCCATGGCTGATCCGAGTGCTGACCAGGAGAATGGTGACTTTGTCCCTAACCCAGAAAATAATGATCCCAAACCTTCCAGGCATAAGATTCGAAATAGGAAAGATATCCCGAGCATAGCTCTGGCCAGCATGCGACACCACACTGGTCTCAGAAAAACTGCAGAGATAGCAACAGCTGCCTGGATTGACGGTGGTTTGATAACACCTGATGATGTTCAGGAGAAACTTTTCAGTAACCTAGAAGAGGAGTTTGATAAGGGGATAAGAGAAAATGGAATCAATTGTTTGTTCTTTGATGGGAGAAAGGATGACACTAAAGTGTTCATGAAAGTTGGAGATTCTGACAAGTTGTTCCCTGCCATGGTGAAGGAGGAACACTACTCCTGCTGCAGTGAACCAGGAGGGAAGTATTTGTGGCATTTCACTCCAGAGAAAGATGACATCAGGAAACCAGCTGAGATAGTGGCAGATAACATTGTGAACTGGCTCACAGAGAGGAACGTAGACCAGACCCTGCAGGCCATTGGAGGGGACAGCACCAACACGAACACAGGGTGGCAAGGGGGGTCATACAGTGGATAGAGCGGAAGATTGGGAGGAAGCTGGTCTGGATTGTTTGTGACACTCCACCAACGGAAGGTTGCCACTCAGACATCTGATCAAGGAGCTGGATGGCAAGACTCTTTCAAACAACAGATGGTCTGGTCCTCTTGGCAAGATGCTGGACTCTGCCACTGAGTTAGAAATAAATCCGAGCTTTGAAAAAATCACAGTTGGCCTTCCACTCGTTGAGCTTGCACATACTGTCATTGACGACCTGAGTACTGACCAGTACTATGGTTACATGATTTGCAGTGCCATCAAAACTGGGGTCATACCTGATAGACTTGCTTACCTGCAGATAGGTCCAGTCTCACATTCTGGGTGGCTCTACAGCAGCTCTCAGGTTCTGCAGAATTTGGGTCGCTCATCTGCATAAACTGAAAGGAACCAACTACAACCTGAGACTTATTGTCCAATTCATCGTGAGTGTCTGCCAAGTGGTTCAACACCAAGGTCAAGTCATCGTTCCGAAGGTCCGAGGCATGTTCTCTTCAACCAGGCTCCTGAGGAGTCAGCCAAGGAAGGTTGTTCCAGATTGTGGAGCAGACTGTGAGGAGATATTCCTGGTATGCTCATCCCGAGGCAGTTCTGCAGACAATGCTCTGCAATAAGGATGAGGAGGAGAGAAGAGTGGCAGTCAAAAAGATCTTGGATATGAGACTTATGAGAGGATCTGGGCATGACGAATCAGTTGGTGACGATTCCTTCAGGGTCAGGAAGACTCCTGAAGTCAATCTAGGTGCCAAGACCCTCACTGATCTCATAGATCTGGATAACATCCTGGCTGGCAGTGAGTCCCCTCTTACCTGCAGCCTCACCAATGTTCAAGTCAGAGCTTTCCTGGACAACCCCATGCATGTCCCTGCCTGGCCCTCGCACACCCAGAGTATAGAGCGTTGTGTACAGCAAGTGAGCGAGGCCAGCAGTCACGTGTACAGCCAGGAGAGGGGGGAAGGCTACATCCGAGCTCAGGTGGTCAGCAGAGAGGTGATGAGTAGAAAGAGAAGCAAGAAAGACATGTTCTCTATGGTGTGCAGCAACACCAGGTCGTAGTAGTAAAACCGGTTTTTGTATTTGATGATTTTGTTTTCTAAAGGAATATTAAATTTAATCAATGTGTCAAGATCATTCGTTTCACTATTCTGGATCATTTTCATCCTAATAAATTAACCTGATACATTTACTTTACTTTAAATAAGCTATTTAGTGGTGTTGGTAAAAGGGTGGGAATACTGAATTTTCATAAGATTTCAAGTTAAAATTTACCTACTTAAAAAAAAAAATGAAAACTTTTCAAATCTGAAGATATCACATGATTCTGCACATAGAACTACATCATTAATACCATGGGCCGATTTTTCAAACTCAAAAAAAAAAAATTCGCCTCCGTATGACACACCCTATTGATGCAGGGCGTTTCCCACGGCGTTATTATTTGTATTGTCGAAAATCCTGTGTGTGGCGTTAAAGTCTCCTAAGATATTCATAGGGTGACTATTGTTAACCAATTTTAATAGGTCTTCTACAGTTAAATTGGGTCGTCTCGGTGGCAGATAAGTAGTAGCAATGATTACGTCTCCTTGAGTTACATTTATTTTTATTGCTAGAAATTCATCCTGGAAGTCATCGATTAGTTTATATTTTAAGTTTCTTTTAATCGCTATAGCTACTCCGTCATTGTTCTTGCCCGATTGGTTTCTTTAGTTTACATAATAGTTGTAGAGTTTGGTGTTGTTCTTGTCTTTTTCACCGTGACTGTTTATTAGTATAATGCCAGGGTCAATTTCTTGATATATATTACATGGGTTAATTCGCTCAGTCTTCCAATTTCTTACGTTGTGTTGAATTATTCTTAAAATTCTTACTGTTTGTCTGTTGTCCGTTATTTTTTAACTTAGATTGTGGCAGTTGGAGTGGCGACCTATCATCCTGTTTCCCGCTTCTGACTCTTCTAAACCCTGACGGGTCTATATTTTAAAGTCATTGGTCGTAATCTTTAGTTTGCCCATAATGGTTAGTGACCAAACGTATTCTTCGTTTAGGGACTTTTCTTGATATGTCCTCATGTATATCCCCTCTTCACAGTTTTTGCTATTGTCCTTCCTGTTGGTATCGATGTTGGGATTCCATGTTTTGGTGTAGTGATCCCTTTTAATCTAATATCTTCAGCAGATTCAGGTTGTCTGTTGTGATCAGTCTCCATCTTCTCTTCTCTCCTCCTTGTCCTTTGTCTTATAGACTGTCCTTTTGCTGAGTCTGTCTTCTCTTTGTCACTTCTAGTCATTTGTCTGGGGGTCTCTATCAGTCGCTTGTATTTCTTGTGTATCAGCTGTTGCTCCTTGCTCATACCTTTTTCCTAGCTGTAGTCTTTCTTTCAGTTCGCTTGAGTATGTTGCCTGAAATAATTTTTCGGATTCTGGATTCTCTGGGAATATCATCTCCGGTAGGCTATTCAATTTAACCATTTTCCTTAACTATTCATTATATGATCCGGATGCAATGATATTGTGCAGGTGTGCGTGGATCATACTAATCATTACCTTGTCATGTATTGGTTCGCTTAAGTTTAAGATGGTGGATTTTGGTCTGTGAGCCTCTTGGACAGCTCTGACTCATTCCAATATACTAAAATGATACATTGCATTGAATGTATCATTTTATTTTAACCTAACCTAGGCGTAGAACACTGAACAGTTGCATCCATTTATAACGGGTGCAGTGGCACCACTGACACCAGACAAGAGATAGGATCCAATGACGTTCTACTTACGACTCTATAAAATTATTAAAACTAACTATGTAGGGAATGCATCTGGTTACTGTATTGAGAATAGTTCTGCCTATTCTGCTACTTTTAATACGATGTAAACAAACAGTGGTGCCACAAAAAAAGTAAGATTCTATTTGAGGCAAAATAAGTAAAAGAGATGGGTAGAGTATGAGGGAAAAACAATGCAATGATAAGGATAGCGTGGAAGTAATACACGAAAAGGTAATATACATCACACTACCACTACTGGTATAAGAAGTTGAGGCAGCTTTGAGCAAAATAAAAAATGATAAAGTTTATGCGGTTGATCAGCTTCCAGCAGAATTTATAAAACAAATGGGCAAGAATGGGATAAAATGTTTCAATAAAATTTATGCTTTAAAGGTAATCCTCCCAGTGATTTCAGAAAATCAATATTTCATTGTTACCTAAAAAGACAGGAGCCTGAGAGTGCAACAATTAGTTTAATAAGTCATGCCTGCAATGTTTTATTCAACATAATTTTAAGTAGAATAAAATTTTGAATATGCAGTGAGTTATCTGAAGATCAATATTGATTTAGAAAGGGAAAAGGAAGTAAAGAAACTATAATTAGTTTGAGAATTTTGAGTGAAAAAGATTCAGAGGTCCAAAGAAATTTGTCCATCTGGTTTGTTTATTTCGAAAAAACAAGTAGAAAACTTTGTGTGTTTTGGAAGTAACTTTAGCTGTGATGGTAGATGTGCGAAATAAATCAAAACAAGAATAGGCCAAGAAAAAACAGCATTTAATAAAGTAAAAGACCCATTAAAAGGGGACATTAACTTATTTTTGAGAAAAATGTTACTGAAAATTTATATTGTTGTTTGGTTCAGAAGTATGGACACTTTCAGCAGACACCAGAAAGAGGTTCGAGGCTTTTTAAATGTCGTGTTATTGGCGAATGTTAAGAATAAGTTACAGAAAAAAAATACTTTGGTCATATAATTATGAATGAGGGAATACTAACAGAAATATTAATGGGCAAAGTTGAGGGGTAGGAGGGCCTGGGGAAGGCAGAGAGTGAGATTGATTAATTAAATTAAGAACTGGATCCCCAGAGAGATGCAAAATCTTGGAGGATTGGTAAAAACAGCCCGAGGACATTTAGAGTACAGGGCTGTTGTCGCCAACCCTCAGATACGAGGACGGTACTTTGGTTGATTGATATATAAATTAGAATCACAATGAGCATCATTACTGTACACTCACCTTGATCAATGACCTCCTGGTAGATGAAGGGTCTCTCTCCAGGCCCGTAGTACTCTGTATTTAGGTCGCTGAGGTTGTTGAAGATTAGCTGTGGAGATACGCGGATTTAGTCATGAAACATAAACATGAGGATACTAATACGGGAGAACACGACAGTCTTTAGTTTAGGAATAATGGTTATTGCTGTAAATGTCCTGTTGGGTTAAGAATGATAGTGAATTTTTTTAACAAATTGCTTAAGAATACAACAAATAAATAAAGACAAAGGTAATAATACAGGGAATGCTTACTAATCATACATAACAAAAAGTTACTGACAAATTCTACCAGTATTTCTTTCGTTATCAACTTAATATGCGTAGAATATTTTATACGTATTTTTTTTTAAGTGAGTGTGAAAAACTAGTATGGTTTTAATTTTTGGCTGTAGAGTATCTATATATCACCTTCATGTCCTCAGGCCACATGTGTTTGCTTGCGTCGATGCGAAAGCCAGCCACGCCCCAGCTTAGTAGCTTGTTGAGATAGTCCCTGATCTTGCTGCGGACGTAGTCTTTGCCCTGGTTGAGGTCGTTCAACCCCACCAACTTACAGTTACGCACCTGATAAGATTTCATGTGTAAGCTCTCACAGCTTTGTCATTTCGCTGAATTTAAACAGAAATTCATTTCTCTAGTAATAATAAACTAATGTTGTTGTTATTAACCATATTGTTCTGTATTGAATATATTTGGTTATGAATGTAAATTCTTATGTATTTTGGAAACTGTTGTCCAGTAAAATGCAAATTAAATCAAACTCTCCCAGCATAAGGATTATTACTTTTAATTTCAAAATTTCCTTATTAAAAGACATTGAGCTCCTGAGGTTATGTGCACACTGTTTATCTTGGACATATATTCAATATTTTTTACAGAGGGCGAAAAATTTCCCAACCTGAATAGCATCCCCGTAGTTTTCAATGTTGCCTGAGGCGGTGTGACAGTTGGCATCGTTGAAATCAAAGCCAGAATAAGAGACCCCCGGGTAGGACTCTGACCCCGCGTCGAAGGAGGTGCCCCCGGTAGCACCAGTGCCCTCGGGCCACCACCCAGTCATGTGGTTGATCACGGCATCAACGTAGATCCTGGTGCCGAGAAAAAACAAAAACTTAATGCAAGTTTAATGGCTTAATGGCCATTATAAATACGTCTTTTTTATGCAATTCACCATATTAATGGAGGCAGAAACTGATGAGTTATACCTCTGTTTTGTCGCTAAGGAACATGTGCCATTTTAGATAACACGTGATCGTGTCCGGGACGAGTTGCGGTATATTGCGTTTCTTTGTTGTCTGGCCATCACTTGTTACGTTGATGGCTACCAGGTATAAGAAGCTACGTTGTTGTTGAAATGTTATTACTGTGTTTCAACAACGAAAGTCTTGAAGCACTTAACAAGGTTAGTAATTACAGTATTACAACAATTACAAATTGTGAAAGATAGACCTCTCTCTTATAAGAAGCTATACGGCAACAACCAATAGAAATGCATTGTAAGTCATGTATACAGTGGATAGATGTACAAAATGTGCGAGATGAATGTAATTTTAATGTACACATGTGCACGACACCTATAGAATTTATGAAGTTCAGCTTGAATGTATAGTTCAAGACACCTACTCAAATTTCATTGTCAAACATTTTTCAATAGAGACTTTTTGCTAAGCTAGATTGTCAATCGGCTCACACCTCGTCCTTATCCTATCGAAAAGTCCAGTCTCTTCGTGTTAACTTTTCGACACCTGGTCAACATCAGAAGGCTTACACAAATAGCCTTAACCGATCACCCTAAACCATATAAAGGCCCGAAACAAATCAAAGCCACGTGCTTATCAAAGAGGAAACTGTGTATTTTTAAAGATTACCAATTCCTAGATTATTAATTACTCAATAAATTGACAGATATCCAGCATTCTGATTATAGTTTTAACCGGATTTAATTTCAATAGTTCTGAAAAAAATTAATCACCAATATATAGTATTTCTAGATTAATAATATTTATCCGTTGTGGTGCACTGTTGTTAATAAAAAATACTACAAGAAGATGACTTTGTGTCTTTTATGAGGGTGAATCATATTACACTATGGCTATTAAAGCATTCGCCATGTTCTGATATGGGTAAGTCTTGCCTTACACCGACTTTATTACAGAGGTTCACCATGTCCTGATATGGGTATGTAATGATTGTTTATCAGACCACAGCTTACAACCCAGAGAATTACAACAGTTGCTACCTGACCCAGCTTGGAGAAGGACGTGCCCCCAAGTGCTCCCGTTAGTGACCAAGGAAAATGGCCGCCTTGGATCTTTGTGTCTTGGGGGAAGAGGTGCGGAGTGTGGGGAAAGACGAACTCCTGGCCACTCTGTTAAGGCAGCTGGGCCAGTTGAGGAGTGAGATTGACACTCTAAAGGGAGAAAATGAAGCCCTCAGGACTGAACTCCTTCAGGTAGGTGTCCTGCCTAGCAGGACTCCTGTGAAGGAGGAGCAGGCATGGAGAGTGGTTGTCTCCAAGGGGACTAGGGTCAGACTCAGGAAAGCTGTCCAGGGTGTGGAGTGTAGTAACCCCTACCAGGTGCTGGAGGAAGCTGGCGGGGAAGAGAAGAGGCAGGAAAGTGTGGTGCAGGGAGAGGAAAGGGCAATTGTACAAACCCTGCCCAGAAGTAAGGTCGTGGTAGTTGGGGACAGCCAGGTGAGGTTTTTAGATAGGACTTTTTGTGCAAGAGATAGGAAACGTAGGACTAGGGTGTGTTTTCCTGGGGCTGGGATAGGGCATGTAGCTGAGAGGATAGATAGGGTTTTGTAAGGAGAGGGTACCAATCCAGTAGTGTGTCTTAGTGTGGGAGGAAACGACATAGGAAAGGTTAGGAGTGAGGAACTTTTCAAGATGTATAGGGAGGCGCTGGGGAAGATTAGAGATAGTATGTGGTGTCTTGCCTAGAAGAGGGGTTGGTCGTAAATGGCTGTATGTACCCAGAATGTAGACGTCATAGCAATCACCGAAACTTGGATGAATCTGGCGAGCAAAAATTTGTTATCAGAGTACCACATAGAAGGATACAACCTTTTTCATAAGGACAGAGAAGGTAGGAAGGGGAGAGGGGTCGCACTCTTCGTCAAGATACATTAAAATGTTGTATTAATAATTCCATAAAGGGTGAAATAGGAACCGAGTCTGTATGGGTAGAAATCACGGAAGGAAGAGAAAAACTAATTATGGGAGTGATTTACATGCCCCCAAGTCTTGGGAAAGAAGCAGCTCAGCCCATATGGCAGGAAATGAGTAGGGCAGCAAAATATAACAACCTGTGCATTATGGGGGATTTCAACTTCAGAAATATTGACTGGGACAACATTGTAGGTGACTATGAATCTGAAGACTTCGTAGATGCAGTACAGGACAATTTTTTTAAACAACTAATTACAGAACCTACTAGAGGTGACAATATATTAGACCTAGTATTAACAAATAAAGACAATATTATCAGAGATAACACAGTAGGGGAAGAACTAGGTAACAGTGATCACAGAGAAGTCAGGTTCACCCTAAATTGGGAACGAAAAACAATGACAATATGGTCAGAGTCCCAAACTTTCGGTTGGCGGATTATCAGGAACAGTCATGTCAGTCCCCAGTAGGAAGGGGTGAGGTCATAGATGATACAACAATTGATCATAACTATAATATATTCACTAGTATATTACATAAAGCACAAGAACAAAATATACCATACAGAATAATTAGGTCAAATAAGAATGAGCCAAGGTGGATGACCAGAAAACTTAAACATGACATAGGAATAAAGAAAGGAATATATAAGAAATTAAAGGGAGGGGAAGGAGCAGCTCAGAAATAGGTATAATGAACTATCTAGGAATGTTAAGAAAAATGTAAGGAAAGCAAAGAGAGACTATGAAATCAAAATAGCAAGAGAATCCAAGGCGAATTCCAAGGGATTTTTTTCAGGTATATAGAACAAAGGTCAAGGACAAAGTTAGGTCTTAAAGTCAGGGAGGGGAGAAGTGATAAATGGCAGTGAAGAAATAAGCAAAGCATTGAATAGCTACTTCCTATGAGTTTTCACAGAAGAAATTCGCGAGGAAATTCCAGAGGTGGAACTGATATTTAGGGGAAAGGAAGAAGAGAAATTAAAGAATATCACTATCAGAAAAGAGGATGTTCTTAAGAGGATAAATAAACTAAAGAAGACAAAATCCCCAGGGCCGGATGAAATTTTCCTTCGAGTCTTGAAAGAGTGTAGGGAACAGATTAGCAGACCCCTCGTAAATTTATTTATAAAATCATTAGACACGGGAGTTGTGCCAGACTTGTGGAAACAGGCAAATGTAGTACCCATATTCAAAAAGGGAGACAGAGCATCAGCGTCAAATTACCGGCCGATCAGTTGAAGTCAGTAGTGGGGAAATTTCTTGAATCAATTATAGCAGATAGCATCGGATCGCATTTAGAGAACAGCAAATTAATCTACGACTCTCAACATGGGTTTACAAAGGGAAAATCTTGTCTAACAAATCTGCTTACGTTTTTCAGGAAAGTCTTCGAGGTAGTAGATAATGACGAAAATTACGATGTTATTTACTTAGACTTTAGCAAAGCATTTGACAGAGTACCGCATCAGAGGCTTCTAAGAAAAATTAAGGCTAATGGTATCGAGGGGAAAGTTTTAAATTGGATAAAATCATGGCTCACCAATAGAACGCAGAGGGTCAGCGTAGATGGTGTTAAATCTGAGTGGGGAGGTGTAACCAGTGGGGTTCCCCAGGGGTCAGTACTAGGCCCACTCTTGTTCATAATCTACATAAATGATCTAGATACTGGGATAAGCAGTGACATAAGCAAGTTTGCTGATGACACCAAAATAGGGCAGCAGATTAATTCAAGGCAGGATGCAAATGCATTACAGCAGGATCTAAATAAACTGCAGGGGTGGTCTGAAAAATGGCAAATGAAATTCAACACCAGCAAGTGCAGCATACTTAATATTGGAAGAACAAATACTGTCAATGTATACAGCCTTAACAACAAAAACCTAGAGACGTCGACTTGTGAAAGAGACCTAGGGGTACTTGTAAGCCCGGACCTACGGCCTAGAAAACAGTGCGTTAATGTTCGAAATAAGGCAAACAGAGTATTGGGTTATATATCTAGAATTGAAGGTAATAAGAGTGGAGAGGTCTTATTGTAACTATATCTTGCGCTAATCAGGCCGCACCTCAATTATGCGGTTCAGTTCTGGTGCCCTTATTATAGAATGGATATCAATTCACTAGAGTCGGTGCAGCGAAGAATGACGAAAATGATTCCGGGACTTAGAAACCTTCCATATCAGGATAGGTTAAAGAAACTAAGCTTGCATTACCTGGAAAGACGAAGAGTGCGGGGAGATATGATAGAAGTATTTAAGTGGGTGAAAGGAATCAATAAAGGGGATATAGACAAAGTTCTTATAATATCTGAGCAGGATAGGATTCGGAGCAACGGACTTAAGTTGGATAAGTTTAGGTTTAGGAGGGAGATAGGAACGAACTAGTTCACAAATAGGGTGGTGGACGAGTGGGACAAGCTTAGCAACTTTGTAGTAAGTGCCGGAATGCTGGAAAGTTCAAAAGGAGGCTGGATAGATAGAGAGTGGTAGTAACTCTCGATAGGAGCTGCCATGCACAGGCCACCCGGCCTATCGCAGACTCCTTATTTTCTTATGTTCTTATGTAACACATATAACAGTAAGTAGATGCCCACATGGTACCCACATAAGTTGACACACCCTATAGTCCCAGGGGACCTGACCCCGGCCAGTTAGTACTTGACCGGGTGATATGACCTACAACTACACCTTGCCAAGACACACCCGGGCATGACCACACACCTGGGCAAACACAGCTGTCCAGATCTAACCAGTTTAGTGTTAATTGGGAGGCAGAGTCTCCCATAGGAGACAGTCCAGAAGCACCTGCTGGGCCTCCCTCAGGTCACGTGAGTCTTTGTCAGAGCTATCCATAGGGTGAGTTACTTACGGTGGGAAGTGTATTCATTTCATGTTTGTGTCCAAGAGTCATTGTCTAGTAACGTAAATATAATGTTCTAGTAACTTCGATATAGTGTTCTATTAATGTGTCTGTGTCATGAGTAATAAATAAATAGTTGTATTGAAGCGGTGTTTGAGAAGGTTTCCCCTAAGAACGTAATATAAGTGAAAGTAACGAATCAGCCACGCTACCAAACTTCCTCTCTTTACATTCCTACAACTATAAATTTCTACCTATATGTATATCTTCTATACGAGTTTTGACTTGTTACATGTAAGTCTTACCTTACACCGACTTTATTACAGCGGTTCACCATGTCCTTAAAGGCGTCTTCATCGCCTGAGCGGGTGAAAACTTTGTAGGAGACAGGCTGGTAGCGCTCCCACCACGGTCTGCTTTTCTCTTCCTGGAACACGACCACGTTCTCGTTGACTGGAGACACCTGTAGGAAGTCATCACAATAACTTCATGTCTTATCTTCGGCAAATTTCGCAAGAACTAACTGTATGTATATTATGTATGTTGTATGTATACCATGTATGTACTCTATATATACACATTATTTCTCTAGTCAGTAGCATGTGGCAATGCCCCTGTTTCATGTCACCACACGCTTAGATAAATGTGCCTGGCGACATCTGGAAGCTGCTAGTATACCACTTACCACATGTCGCCCGAGAGGTCAGAGTGAGGTCAGTTGACCCAAGAGGAGTGTAAGGACTACCTGCGCTTGTAAGCGCACCCCTGTATATTTCCGTTAATAAGAACCTACAGAACTCTACAGGTGTTTATGTTCGCTCCTGTAATTAGAACCAAGTACCCAGAACATCTCCACTAACCAACGAGTAAAGAAAGATACTGTTTGTTTGTTTGTTTTTTCACGTCAACCATTCTAACACTCCCTCTCCCCACTTTCACTATATGTTCTCTCAATAAACTGTTAGTTATTATTGTTATTTATTGTTATTATCACCTTGAGATATATCACTGAACAGTTGATTATCGATTCGTTTTCTTTTATATTCATTATATTCTGATGAACTTAGTATACATTTTTCTTATATGGTTTTGCATTATGTTTCACCATCCAGTATCTGTTACAGTATGTGTATATCCTGAAGTGCGTACTTTACAAACTGTAGGTAGTAGGTAATAGGCAGCTACCAAACAGGGAGGTACCACCGCCTGGGAAGATATTGGAAGCATAATGTATTGTCTAATCGTAGACCCTGCTGCCATATGGCATCACGAAAATTGTGACCAAGTTCTTGTGGTTCTTTATTATTATTATTATTATTATTATTATTATTATTATCATTATTATTATTATTATTATTATTATTATTGCAGTGTTATTATTATTATTATTATTATTATTATTATTATTATTATTATTATTGTTATTGTTGTTATCATTATTATTATTATTATTATTATTATTATTATTACATTTTCGCCCCCTCATGCCCCGATGTGGGTCAATGACCTGTGACCGAGTGGGTTAATCCCCTAAAAAAAAAAAAAATGGAGAAAGGGTAAACAATCCTCAGCCGACCCATTTTAAGCATTTTAAGCGTCAATCAATCAATAAAGGTTAGTGAGAGGAGGGAAGGAGGTTCAGGGGAAGGATAGATGGAGGATAGAAGTGAGTTTTAGAAGGAGAGGAAAGCAGTGGCTTAAACACCGCTGGCGTGAGGGGGTAGGCGATGTGCCCAGATGGGTGGATGGTGCTGCGACACCTCGCGAGGACGAGGCCGAGGGGAGGAAGGGGGGGGGGGACAGGGTCGGGCTGACACCGGGCCAAGCGTGGGTGCTCTGGTTGTCGTCAGGTGCTCAGGCTGTGTCGGTGAAGCGAAGAACCGCCCCGCCACGGCGGCGGCGAAAGCCGAGAAGCGCCTGGGGTCGGACGCACGGACACCACACACTCAAAGAAAAACAAGGAAGGGGAAACGGAATGTAGGTTAGTTGTAGAGTTGTTTGGAGAAAGGTGAAGGTAAAGTCTTTGAGCTATGTCAAAGAGGAACGGAGCGAGTTGGAGGAAGAGTTTTGAATCTTTGAGCTTGAAATGTCAAAGTATTCGTAGCAAGGAAGGATGAGCGTATCGTAGGAGAGTTTTTTTTGTGAAAGCAGGAGACAGATTTGAGCTTTTTTGTCAAATTATGAACGGAGATTAAGATTTTTTATTTTATTTTTTTTTCATGAGTGTACAGTATGTTAGGTTTTGTTTGGGGGGTTTGTTGTGTATAGAGGTTGGTTGGTTTTAATTGGGGGCTGGGCTTTTGGGGTCGGTAAGTTGACTTGTGGAGTGATAGTTTTTGTTTAGGGAGGAGTTGTTGAGTTAGGTTGTTTTTATTGAAAGGGGTTGTCACTGAGGTTGGGTATGTTTGGGTTGCTTCTGGAGAATTGTAAGTATTTCTGTGCGGCTTTGTCTGGGGGGTTGTTGTGTTTGTAGGCTGGTTGGTATTTTATTAATATTGTTATTATTATTATTTTTGGGGGTTGTTATTACAAAGGTCGGGTATGTTAAATTTTATTTTGGGAGGATTGTAGGTTTGGTTAGTGGTTGGTTGAGTTGGGTTATTTATTTTATCTTAAGCATTACGGACCAATCACCTATACACCCCTCCCCCACCCCGATACATACACCATGGCAACCCCCCACACAAACACAGACATCAGAACACCACAACTTGTTGTGTTTCATTAGTGTTAGGGTGGTTAGTCTTTAAAAAATATATGCTTCAGGTGATGGAATACCAGTTTACCTGTACACCGCCGTAGCCTCGCGGTCCCAAGAAGTTCTCACACTCGGCGGCAATATCTGACCAACGCCACTCAAACAGGTGGACGATGACCTGAGTGAGAGAGGGGAAGAGAACAGCTAAATATTACAGATATAAAAAATGCTCGTTGTAACAATTTCTGGAAATGTTCACGACATGATGTCGAGAAACAAATGGAAAAGTGTATTACACTGGAAAAATCTTCACATAGATAAGAAGGATTAATGTTAGAGGTGGACATACGCAGTACACAGCGCACATGATAGGGTCTGAGGTGTACTGTACAGTAAAGAGGACACGACTCATCAGGTTGATATATAACTGGTTTCTGGTATAGTCACTGATATAATAAATGACTGAGTAAAGGGAGATATAGTGAGTGAAAATGAGGAAAAGAAAAACGAGAAAAAAAAGGATGAGTAGAGTGAGGATAAAAGTGAATGGGATGTGTATAATAATGGATAAGTATAAAAAGTTTTGATGGATGAGCAGCTTAGGGAAGATATTATGCCAAGCTAAGTAATAGGACACATGGTAATGGACACTAGAATAATTAAGGTGGGTGACACAGCCACTAAGATACAAGCAGAGGGCTACTGCTAAAATCCGTCGGACGTTGGTTGACACACCAGTGAAATGGAGAGCCACATTGTTAACGAGATCAGAAACACGCACGAAACAGACAGAGAAACGTGTTATAAAAGAATACTGATAGCTTCAGAGTGGCGATAGTCACACAAGACAAGAAAAGACCCGTATAGGATAAACAGTAGACACGGTAAGACTTGCCTGGCCGTTGATGACGTGTGGGTCCCACTGGGCCTGGCTGGTGGCCGCCAGGACTGACACCAGACAGGACGCTAACAACTGATGCATCTCTGTTGTTGTTATGTTATAGGCGCTTCACCTGCCAGGGTTATAAGAATGTTCACTGGGTCTCAGTTTCTACAGCAGATAACCGTTAAAACTTAATGTCAAAATTTGCTTTGTCAACAGTACAAAACTATATGTAATGAGACAAAACTCACAAGAAGAGAATTACATATATAGGTAGGAAGTATAGAGAGTAGGAATGTAAAGATAGGAAACTTGGTAGCGTGGCCTGGATGTTATTTGCACAGCGTCACTACGCTTATCTTATCTCGTATGTCAATACACATATATCACTTCTTAAAGGGACAACTTGTTAAACACCTCTTGATACAACTATTTATTACTTCACTCAATGACATGGACACATTAATATCACTATTATATCGGGGTACTAACACATTATGCTTTACGTTACTTGACACTGACTCTCGGACACACCTGAATGAATACACTTCCCACAGTAGGTAACTCACCCTAGGACGTTCTGACAAGACTCACGTGTACCCTGACGTAGGCCCAGTGAGTGCTGGCTGGGCTGCCTCCTATGGGAGAGTCTGCTTAGCTGGCGATGCCGTGGTCTGGTCGGGAGGTCTCCCTCCCGACCTGGGGAGGGGACGTGCGTGACTCTGCTTAGTGAACCGAGTGACGACCCGAACGGGAGGGGGATGACAGCAACCAGAATGAGAATCAGTATGACCAGAATCAGAATGATAATGATAATGGAATGCCCGTGGACGGGACTGTAGGGCCTTTATATGGAGTCGGCCCAGCCGGCTTCTGACCTCTAACAATTAACACTAAACTGGTTTGATCTAGATAGCCGTGTGCAGGTGTGGTCCTGGCCAGGTGTCTTGGCTAGGTGCGGCTGTAGGTCACCCGGCTCACGTCATTAGCGGGCGAGGTCAAGTCCCTTGGGTCGACCTGAGGTGTGTCAACCCGGAATGTGGTGGTACCACGAGGTCTGTGGTGTACTTGTTGTTATATGTGACATAATTCTGGGCTGTAAGCTTTGGTCTGACAATCAATCATTACACCTCCCGCCAAGACCAAAGCTTCATCACAGAGACTGATGCCACATATAGACAGCAACATCACGTGTGGTGTCAAAGATAATCCCTGGGGCGATAACATTCTCACATTTACAAACAACAATCTCATAGGTGTATGTTTTTCTACTGGCGCTAGTTTGATCTGACAAAGCTCACTATACCTCCCGCCAAGATCAAAGCTTCTATGCCAGGAGAAAAAGGAAACATAGCAAGTGAACATAGAATGAAAAAATCCTTCATATGTAGCATAGTGTCCGAGGCAACCTTGCAAATCACATTCTACAAACAATAACAGGTGTTACATTTCCATGTCAAAATAATAATTCATCTCAGTCAGTAATATAGCTACAACATCGTGTTTCATAGTCCAAGACATTGATCAAATGAACTCATAGAAAAAAGTGAGACTAAAAAAAGACATTCTTTGTAGTAAACATCAACAAAATCAGAGAAAATACTTCAAAATACAAAAAATGTTCCTACTTCACATATTAGGGTATTGATATCTTTTTATTATACATCAACAACATCAGTACATTAGTTGGGTCCGGCATAGCTCACGTCTTCCATCCAGCTGGTATCTGAAAAACAGGGGATGGCGGCAGCTCAGCAGCTGTAGTCGGTTGGTCCTTCATCATCGACTTTCTTGTGATGTCAGGACAGCACATCTTCTGTCTTCTTTCTTCACATAGCACATCTTCTGTCTTCTTTCTTCACATACCGCACCTTGTAGGTCGTTTCTCCACACCTTCTGACTTCTTCTCACTTCCTCCTGGTTTCTATACTATTCCAGACGAGTTTTCTGTCCCATCTGCATTCTTCCTCTACGTTTAGAGCCTCATTTTCAACGTCTTCTAGATGAATTTTCTGTTCCATCTTCCTTTTTTCTTAGTACATCTTCATTTTCATATTCCAGACGAATTTTTCTGTTCATCTGCATCTCTTTATACATCTTCATTTTCATATTCCAGATGAATTTTTCTGCTCCATCTGTATTTCTTCTCTGCAACATCATCATTTTCAACATATTCCAGACGATTTTCTGTTCATCTGCCGTCGGCCCCCTCCGGCCGGGATGAAGGCCGGTCCACTGCTTGGGCTGTCGTCTCCTTCGATGACTGTAAGGCAGGTTCCGCGGACCAAGGCTCGCCCTCCGTACGTGAGTGTCGGCGAGACCAAAGACCGTCCTGTCTTACACCTTCCACAGTGGTGAATCCCTCCCTGGCTGGGCTCACCAGGGTTCGTTGTGTCGCTCTACATTCCACACTCCTTAACTTCCTAAAGTAGAAAAATATAAAATCTTCTTAATCCTAGACCAAGGGAGGACTTGAAAGAAGTGACGTGGTGTGTGGTGGGTTTCGTGCTGCCTTCATCAAGCTGCATTCATCACGCTGCTTTCATCATGCTGGTTCTTCTCTGCTCGTATGTACTGTGGTTGACGTCCGGCTGGCCATGGCTGGTACTGTGAGTGACATTTGACAGAGAAACAATCCTAAAGGGATGATGGATCAGTTGGAAGTGCATTCGCAAAAAAAAAGTTTACTTTACTTCACGTCAATGTTTGGCAACTACGGTTTCCGTCACGACAATGTTCTCATTAGGCTGGTCGGGGAGTGAAGCTCTGCGCACTACACTGAATATCATTTATCACTGCGCGTCAAAGAGTACATCACAAATCATAATAGCATAAAAAATACACTGAGTGAAGCTCTGCATTCATCGCAATATTACTTTATATTAACCATCATCATCAACACACAGCTCACGGGACAAAAGACGGGGAATCAGTGTGGTCAAGCGAGGCGGGGCAGGTCAGAAGGACGTGAGGTCACACGAGCGGGGTGGGGCGAGGCGGGGCACTGGGCGAGGCGAGGCGAGGCTAGGCTGGCCAGGCCCAGCCAGGCTGGTGCGTTGCGGGTGAGGTGGGGAGGAGCCGAGGCGTGGTTGATCTGGCCAGGCCGAGGCTTCGCGGGGCGGGGAGGGGCACGAAACGGAGGGGCGGGGCAGGGCGGGGCAGGGATGGGAGGAAGGGTAAGGAGGGTGAGGTAAGGATTAGGACAGGGAGGAGGATGTAGGTTAAAAGACATGTTAAGTTATGACAGTTAGTACAGAACCGCTTTAATCACTGAAACATAATGGCTACATTTAACACTGACCAACAATCAAACTGCACTTGGGCTACTGAGAATGCCACAGATAGCGGGCGACACTGGGAAATTACGTTAAGCACTGAACATATTTCTACTAAAAATTCGCACATACCACCACAAGAGACATTGACTTGAGCTGTAAAGATGACACACTAGGACACTTTTCACGCTACGACGCTACGACACAGGAATGACTTATTACACAATTGTAGACAATACTTAGACTGAATCAAATGAAGGATGAGACGAGCCAGGTGTTATGGCTAACCGAGGGAAGGCGTGAGTTTACGTTAAGTTCGCTGCTACCATTATAATAACTAAGCGAGGAAGGCGTGGATTAACGTATATAGTTCGCTGTCACCATTGTAATGAGACAAAGACACAAGGAGAGGAAGAATATATATAAGTAGGCAGTATAGAGAGTAGGAATGTAAAGATAGGAAACTTGGTAGCGTGGCCTGGATGTTATTTGCACAGCGTCACTACGCTTATCTTATCTCGTATGTCAATACACATATATCACTTCTTAAAGGGACAACTTGTTAAACACCTCTTGATACAACTATTTATTACTTCACTCAATGACATGGACACATTAATATCACTATTATATCGGGGTACTAACACATTATGCTTTACGTTACTTGACACTGACTCTCGGACACACCTGAATGAATACACTTCCCACAGTAGGTAACTCACCCTAGGACGTTCTGACAAGACTCACGTGTACCCTGACGTAGGCCCAGTGAGTGCTGGCTGGGCTGCCTCCTATGGGAGAGTCTGCTTAGCTGGCGATGCCGTGGTCTGGTCGGGAGGTCTCCCTCCCGACCTGGGGAGGGGACGTGCGTGACTCTGCTTAGTGAACCGAGTGACGACCCGAACGGGAGGGGGATGACAGCAACCAGAATGAGAATCAGTATGACCAGAATCAGAATGATAATGATAATGGAATGCCCGTGGACGGGACTGTAGGGCCTTTATATGGAGTCGGCCCAGCCGGCTTCTGACCTCTAACAATTAACACTAAACTGGTTTGATCTAGATAGCCGTGTGCAGGTGTGGTCCTGGCCAGGTGTCTTGGCTAGGTGTGGCTGTAGGTCACCCGGCTCACGTCATTAGCGGGCGAGGTCAAGTCCCTTGGGTCGACCTGAGGTGTGTCAACCCGGAATGTGGTGGTACCACGAGGTCTGTGGTGTACTTGTTGTTATATGTGACATAATTCTGGGCTGTAAGCTTTGGTCTGACAATCAATCATTACATATAGGTGTCATGATAAATATACACTCTGTTAATATTGAGAAAAAAAAAATATATATATATATAAATATATATATATATATATATATATATATATATATATATATATATAAATATATATATATATATATATATATATATATATATATATATATATATATATATATATATATATATATATATATATATATATATATATATATATATATATATATATATCATCAGTCCATATAGCACACGCAGACTTCCAGATACAAACAATACCTCACTTAAAAAAAAAGTCGAGAATTGAAACTTGGACCTCTGCGTGTGAACAGAGATCGCTACCACCTCGCCACAGAGACAACAAAAGTAATCCCAGGTTTTTTTTATTCTACACAAAGCCAGTTCATTCGTCTTTGTTAATCAACGTGAGCCTCCCTTGTGGATTGCCCGTGCCAACTGTGTGGTCAGAGGAGCATTTTACCGAATCCAGCTAGGAAACACGAGGCTACACATATATCGCTGTCCATATAGCACGCGGACTTCCATATACAGACAATACCTAACTAGTCGGGAATCGAACCCTGGAGCTC